CACACACACACACACACACACACACACACACACACACACACACACACATCGACGTTTTCCCTATTAGCAAAGCTAACAAGAGGTTCAGCTTTTCGGCTCGAACTGTGACGGCCATCGCTTCACAAGATGCGAATGACTTCCGCTCATTTCCGAAGCCAGTTTCCGGTTAACTGTCGTCTCTTGAGGAAATTGAAAGTCGTTGAAAAGGGAATATTGCATCGGGAAATATGTCGAATACAAGATTTTCTATTAAATCTCAATTTAATAGAAATATGAATTTTTCTCAGTTAGATGAAATTTTAAAATCTTTTTAATCAGGAGAATGTTACTTTTTTTTTTTTAACTACAGAAACACTAAACGATAAAAATGATTCTTTTCTTGTTATACTTATATTATTCTCATTACATTGTAGATTAATGTTATTGTATGTACATAAATTTGTTAAAATTCCTGTAAAATTTCTGTTATCCAAGATCATTTTATACGCTCCATTCTATGGTCCTTTTCACCATAATAATAAAGCTCTAAACCAAATTATCCAAGTAAATTTTATTTTAATAATTAAATTTTATTTTCTTCCTCCACTTCAAACTGCACATTTATTCTGTCTAGCATTGAAGAATTATCATAATTGTCACTTTAGAGGAGCACTCTAAAGCAACAAATTTACATAATTGTTTTTATTAACCGATGACAAAGAAATAAATTTCAAATTCGGATTCCATGAAAAAGAAAAAGAAAAAAAAAAGAAACAGACGATCAAGATAATAACTGGCATTTTCAAACTAAGTTTGAATAAAATTTCTACAATGTCAGTTTCCAAGTGTTGCAATCTTTTCGGTAAGCAGTGTATATATTCTAAACAAACGAACGACTCGACAAGTCAAATGGATCGCCGATTGCGCACGACACTTCAAACCAGTCGAGTAGCTTTCGAGTTTCACCAGCAAGAAGTCCCAGAATTCTCGCCATTTGTCTCCCCCCATCAAACGAGAACGACAATTTGAATCGGCGGGAGCATGGTGTTAGTACTCGTTTATGGGTTCCAGCAATTTGTGTGGAGCGAATTCTGCGAGGAATACAAGCCGACCGAGCGTAGGGAGACTTTCTATCCGAGCGTGGTGCTCGCCGATCGATTGTACGAACTAAAAATCACGGATCTACCGATGATCCCGTATTTCCCGGTCAGCTCGCACCTCGAATGGACGGACTTCCGTTATTACGGACTACGAAGCGCGAACGCCTACGTTCTCGTGTTCGATCTCAGCAATCAGGACACGTTTCAGGTATGTATGCAAAGAAATATGTCGTAATGACTATGAAATACGTGCCATCTGTCGTCACTGCCAAGCTTGCATTTACAGTTAATTATGATACATTAGATATAGAAGTTAATTCGATGTCTCTTCTTGCAGACAAACTTGCCATTTATTGGTCTTTCTCTATGATCATTCCAGGATCAAAAGGAAATTGACTTTTTTCAATTTTTATTTGACGCTTGTTTCCTCTTTATGGGAAGTTTGCATTTGGTAATACTAACTTTCAATCTTCAAACATTTGTGTCGAGACATTCTTGGTCAAGTACATCTGAACTGCTATTAAAAAACCTTTAATTTAAAATGGAAAAATATATTGTTTCTTTTAATCATTTACGCTATAAACGTGACGATTTGTGCCTTGAAGTTTAATACCTAAGAAATTTCTACATCTAATAGCATTTATATAAGATATATTTGCATTTTTGTCGACGTGGAAGAAACTGCACTATGATTTTTAAAACAGCTGAAAAAGTCAAGATTTAATAATCTTTTTAGATTTGATATCGATATTTCCTATTGATATCTTCTATCTAGATATCTTCAATCAATGAAGAGTCAAAGTTAAAGTTAAGTGACTTCCCTTGATTATTTTCGTAAATGATTAATAAACGATTCTCTAGTTTATAATTTAATTATTAATATTAGTATATCGTTGGAAACTGTTACTTTAATTATACCTCGGAAAAAATTCTACGAATATAACATCAGGCGAATAAAAACAAACCATCGAGTATCCACATCACAAGTATAGAAGCAACTATATTATAATATCTTCGTCGCTTATGCTTGTCATGTAGGATGCAAGATTATCTTCCCTATTCGAGACGAAATCTTATTACAAGAGTACTGGCGGTATATTTTCTCGGTAGCTTTATTGACTATAAAAAGTTTGAATACGTGTACATTTTTTTTCTTAAATTTCTAATATCAATAGTGATTTATTACCTGCGCATAAAAAGACAATTCAGAAAATGTGATTTTCGAATCGACTTATCACTATGAGAATGCTGCCTGCCGATCAATTTCATATGAAACTCTTATTCGTTTACCTTTATAATTTGACCTTTATAATTCATATTCTGAACAATAAGAATATCTGTAAATTTTATCCTTCATCGTGAACAAGTAAAATCAGCTGGAAAGGAAGATTGAAAAGCTCGCTTTAGAATATTGTCAACGATTTATTTAGTACAAAACTATCTCATAGTTGTCAACTTTCGTTCCTTTTTATTTATTTTTTTCTTTTTATTTGCAAACATCACTTTTCAAAAGTTTCGTGTTTGTATGTCCCAGAGAATCTTTTTAAAAAGATTTTTCCACTCCAGTTGCTAGCAGACACCCCCATTTCATTACAGACTTTTCTTTATGTTTAACGGAGCGATGGAAACTTTCTTCGTTCTATCTTTATTGTGACTATCCCTCCTTCTTTATACTCTCTTAGGAAAAACTACTCTCCTTGAAGAAGGCCGTTTTCGCGTTTTAATAAATTTATCGATTCGAAAGACTTGGAAGAAAATCTCTATCGAATTTGTATTGAATCTAATTCTATCCAATAAAAACGGGCAAATTTATGTTTCCTCTGTTAAGCATATTAGAAATACAATTTCCAGAAGATATTGTTTGAGAAATTTTTATACATGTTTAATAAATTCTTATACGTTCACTCGATAAAATTCCGTATTGTTCTTTTAACCTTATAACTTTTCATATTAATATTAAAATACAATATTAAAAAGCATTTGAAACATGAAATTGGAGTAGAAATTAATAACGTGTAATTTTTATATTTCTCTTAATTTTGAAAAATTTTTTCAACGATTGAAAATGATTCAGTACAATCTAATGGAATATCTGTTAAAGATATTCCAACGTAAAAAAAAAAAAAAGAAGTGAGAAATATCACTGGACAGATATGTGAATCAATTTTATACGATTACGAAAATTTCAGTGCCAAGAGCACGAGAAATAAAATTTCTGTTTCATTGGTTTCTCGATATTCTGAATACGCTTGTTCATGAATATGAATTATGAATACTCAAATCAAGACGTGCGTATTATAATATTGCTTCAACCTTCTGTCACCTTCTCCACGTATCATCTCCGAGTATTATATTATATTTTATCATCCAGAACTGATTCTTCAAAGATGTTCCACATATTCGTTAATATCCTATATACTTTTTCATATTGCTATTATTCTCTGTTTGTTGTTACACTTTGCCTATTTATTTTAAGATTAAAAACTATCTATACGTACACTGTGTATCTTACATACATCTATTACATACATCTATTCTCGCTCTGTCATTAACTTTCACACCTCCTTACAATAATCGAATAACATAACATAATGTTGACTGGTGTTGACAAGACTTGAATTTATAAATTGTTCGTAGTATTTTGCTATTGAGTTTGTTTGCTTAATGACTATCGCACCCTATGTAGAGATTATGATCAACCTTTAACATCGCCAAGTGATAGATCACCAAGTCAAAATAGACAATATACATTATTTCTCTCTCAATATCTATATTAAAATGATTTCATTTGTAACACGACAGTACATTAGGACGTTACGAGAGCAAATCTACGAAGCACGGGACATGAGAGGAGTACCGTTATTGGTAGTCGGGAACAAGCAAGACGAATTGTCGCCCGCGGCTGCTTCCGGAACTCGCTACAGGGACATCGTTAATCTCGTTCGGAAGCACTGGCGATGTGGCTACGTCGAATGTAGCGCCAGATTTAACTGCCGTGTTGTACAGGTACGTACATAACATGAAAATCTATTATTAACAGGTTAACTGTTATGGTCAATGATCACCGATTATCAAGTTATTTCGATTGTTAATAAACTGTCATATTCATTGTGAAGTTTTTCATATTACAAATTTGGCAAAAAAGCAAATATCTATAGGTGTACATTTGCATCCGTAAATCATCGGAGAAAATTAACATGTAATTACGATCTACATTATGAAGTAAAATTCTAGTGTAAAATTGTAGTATTATAAGATAAAATTGTATCAGATGGTGTGGTATTTAATTTTTATAACGAGGAATTACACACCAAAGATTTTACCAAAAGTATCGCTTGAACTATTGAACTCTTGATTAATTTGTACAAATTTGCAAAATTTGTTTCAAATTATTCATAAATATAAAAGTTTGACCTTTCCCGTATATGAGTTCTATTGTTCTATTGAGGATGTTGTATTAATGTTCTAATAATTATTTTGTTTAAAATAAGCAATGAAATGAGCAAGTGAGCCGATGATTTATGGACAGGAGTGTAGATGTATAAAATTAAATGACAAACTCAATGTACAAATCGTACTAAAAATAAATGAAAATTATTTCAGCCGTATAAAATTCAACGTGTAAATCAAAAGTTAAATGTACTATTGCTATACTATATATATATATCATGGTAACATAATTTTACGAAACAATTTAGAAGTCCAACCACCAGTTATGCGAGCGAGGGAAAATACTCCTCGAGGCAAATTCTCGATTAGTGTTCAGGTAACTTAAAGTTCAAATGACTTTGAGATCTTAAGATATCATATCGAAATAATCTGGGCAAAATGGCAACTTGTCTTCGTATACTTATAATAATAATACTAAAATTGACTGTCTCATAAAAGCGCTTATATTGCTCGTCTTTTAATAAATACTCCATGACTTTGAGATAAAACACGTACATTTCTTATGTTTTATACATTATATAAAAGAATTTTTAATCATTAAATCTACCAAAAATTTAAATATTTTTAATCGAGCTCAAAAATATA